GAGCTGGGACAGAAAAGTAATTCTTTATTTCGAGCTCAGCACAGAAGTTTTTGAACTTCGGGTTGTTGAACTGCTTCCCATTATCCGACACAATTGCTCTAGGATCCCAAATCGGTAGATTATGAATTTTCAAGTAAAATTATGAACCTTTTGTTCTGTAATGGCCGCTAAGGGCTCTATCTCTGCCCACTTGGTAAAGTAATCCACCCCTACAATGATGAACTTGCATTGTCCCACACTAGTGGGAAGAGGCCCTAGTATATCTAGACCCCACTGTTGGAATGACCAAGGGCTTATCACTAAGGTCAAGAACTCTGGTGGACAGTGAAGGATGTTGGCAGCCCTCCAGATCTGAATCTGAGAAAGTGATAACCGTGTCTAAGCGTGGAGATTTAGACACAGTATATACTTCGGGAGCTTCTGTGGCTCTGATTTTCGCAAGTGGGCCTTTCTGGCATAGCTGGATTCTCTTTCTCTAGCAAATCCTCCAGATATCACTCTGATCTCCCCCATAGGTTATTGGTATGGCTCTGGTGCTTGACGCTGAGGGGGTGGGGTGGGAGAGCTCAGTTTTGATTATCATTGGCCATATAGCGTCGCAGCTGCCCTCACCGGATTAGAAATTCTATTTTCCCCTTCAATTAGATATAGTCGTCGGCGTGATAACCATGGTCTCTGTGGAAGTCACAATATTTTGTAGGATCCCTTTTTGCTGGATCTGCTTTCATCCGGGGTGGCCACCTTAAGAACTTCTCATTTTGCACCTCATATAGTATCTGAGACACTGTAGCAGTCGGGGGGGTGAGCTGCCGGGGTGTATACCTCGGTTGTAGCTCTAGTTTTGGAGGGCCGAGGCGATCCCTGATATTTTCACTTATCTTCGGGGAACGCTCTCTGTCTCTTCTTGAAGACCTGCCTCGTTCTCTTTCCTTTCTAGGACTTCGTTCTTTCTTCGTTTCTTCCTTCCCTTTTTCCTTTCTGAACGAAGAGCTCCCGACCTTGGAGATGAGCGCTTCCTCACCATTTATGTACTTTTCTGCTTTAGCGAGCNATAATAGCAAATTTTTCATCTAAGACATCCACCGTCAAGGATTCTGAGTTGAACCGTTAGACATAAGACCGTAGGTTCTCATCAGATTCCTGTTTTACATTTAACAAATGGTAGCTCGGTTTCCTATAGGTCCGAGCTCCAATGAAATGAGACACAAATGAGATTGACAACTCTTTAAAAGAGNTTGAACCGTTGGACATAAGACCATAAGTTCTCATCAAGTCCCTGTTTCACATTTAATAAATGGTAGCTCGGTTTCCTATAGGTCCGAGCTCCAATGAAATGAGACACAAATGAGATTGACAACTCTTTAAAAGAGAAAATCGAGGTTGGGGAGAATCTGTTGAACCATGCTAAGGCTGAGCCCTTTAGAGTGATAGCAAAGGCCCTACATCTCACTGGATCTTGATATCCATGCAATTCCATTTAGTTTTTGTAGGTGTTGAGGTGGTCTACGGGATCTTTTGTCCCATCGAAAACATCCACCTGCGGCATTCTGAATTTAGGTGAGAGAGGGAAGTGCAGCACCCCAGCAGTGAATGAGGATTCGGTTTGCTGCACCAAGGNATGAAATTCTGAATTTATGTGGAAGAGGGAAATGCAGCACCCCAGTAGTGAATGGAGATTCGGTTTGCTACACCAAGGCATCCATAGTGACTGGGGTCTTGCTCTTCACTGCCTCCTTCATCTGGCTGAGCTCTTGCTGGATATTTTTGAAACGTTGCTCCCAATGGTGTTCTCTTCTCTTTTGTTGATAAGGGAAGAAGTCGCTCATCTCCCCTTCTTTATTCTGACTTTGCACTTCCTCGTTCTGTCCATTCCTAGGGGGTATTCGAGGTTCTTGCCCGAAGGTCTGGCTATTTTCTCCCTCCTCATTAACTTCTCTGAGGGGGTCGAGATGTGGTTGCTCTCTTGGTGGTGGATTATTCTAGCCTCCTTGGGCCGGTCATGCCTCCGGTGGGCGTTGTATGAGCTTTAAGAGCTTTTCGTTCTGTTTTATCAGACGTTCATTGACAAGACGAAGGGCCTCCATCTCATTATTCATGGGAAGGCCCCCCATGGGGGGATCTACTTCTTGAGCATTTTTGGGTTGCCTGTTATTTGCGACTTTCTGTTGATCTTGCATTCGTAGAGGATTGGTCTGACTTCGGCTCATATTTTGCGTTGATACCATCAGTCACTGGAAAATTAGCTTTATTTGTAACAACAACAGTCGTTCCCACAGACGGCGCCAAACTGATGGTGTATTTCAACGTGATGAGAATTTGTGATGACGAGTAAATGAAAGAAAATAATATTAGAATTGTTGGGATCTGAGCTACTAGACTCGAGTGAATGATACTGAGAGTCATCGGGGAATTAACACAGTAGGAATATAGTGGTTTACCAGCTCGGGAGCTCGGCTAATCCACTCTTTAATGAAGACTCTTATTCCTTGTCTTTCAATAATGATGATTGCAAGAGTACAATGACTAGTTTTTGCCTCTAGGGTTCCCTTCGTTCCTTATGGGCGTTATATAGTATTTATAAGACTGTTCCCTATTCAGTGGGATCTTAGTCGAGATTTTTGCCCTTATTTCGTGGGGTTCTCCTTGATTATAGGAGAAAATCTTGGTTGGTTGAGATTAGGTGTCTTGATTATTGCTTCCTAACGCTTTTAGGAACCTTTTGTGATCTTTCAGCTATTGCCTTGGTTGTTATTGCCCTTGCTTATCTCGAAGGGACCTCCAGCTCTTACTCTTCCGAGTTCTGTTTGTCTAGTCTGACCTCCTGAGCTGAGCTGGCGTTTGAGATTTATCTTGAGGTATCATCAAATTTAAAAAAAATTAATAAATTTATAAATGATGATCATTCATTGAGAATGTTCAATATCTTAGAGGTGATTTATATTACTTGACACTGCCATGTAATATGTTACACTATTAAAGGTTTAATTTGCACTCAGTTTATGTTGAAGGTGGTACAAGTTATTTGAAGATTGAATTCACCTCTAAATAGCCTACTCGATTGAGTTGCACACCGACAACTAGGTCTCCATTTATTCCATTGGGCTATTTCAATCGTCCATTATATGGTTAATAAGGTTTAGTTTGAATTGCATGTCCTTATAACTCTATTTAGTTTTTAGTGCCCAATAATATTACTCGAACTCAAAAACTTGAAGGCATCGTCTTGTTTTTGTTTGTCTGAGGGATCAATCATCATCTTCGTCAAAGGGATCGATTTTCGTCTGAGTTCTTCGTCATCTGAGAAAGAGAAAGAAAGTAGATGAGAGAGTAAAGAAAAAAGAAACCCTTTAAAGGGTTTTTATAGTAAACAGACACAAAAAAAAAAAAAAAAACCTTCTTTTTGTTACTAATGAGATTTGAATGGGGGATCTCATTAAATAAGGTTGTAGAGCGCGCGTGTTTCCTAAAACATCTTTTTTTGTTCATTGTTTTTGGGTCTTATTTCTGAAACAACTTTTTTTATATAAGACAGAAACACAAATTCAAACATGTTTTTATTTTTGTTTTGCCTAAAAAACAAAAATAAAAACACAAAACACGAAACAAAAACACTAGCCAACCAACCCCCTAACGATTTATTAGTTGTCAAATTTAAAATTTGTTTTTGAGAAATAAATAAGTAGTGCTCAGTTCAACCAAATGGGCTTAAGCCTAATCTTAACATTTTGAGAGATTGTTTTACATTATTTTCTCTAATGTTGACTAACCTTAATTTTGAACCCGAATATCATATTAGAGTTTCACTATTGCTTGTTGGTCCCATTTGTGTTTTTTTATGAGTAGTTTTGAACATACTTTACCAAACATCAGTCATAAGAGCTCAAGAAGATCAATAAGTCTCATTTATTTCATTAAATTACTAGTAATAACTTTGTACTTGAAGATACTTTATAATACAAAAAATTGAATATTTCTTCAATAATATTTTTATATGTTAAATAATAATTACAGTAAAGAGTGCAAAAATAAGAGAGAAAAGAAAAATGTAGGTGTGGATTAATGGAATTGATTGACAGTGTTGATTCAATTGTTTCACATGAGAATTGTGCATAGAAGATGTTTTTGAGCAAAAAAAAAGTTCAAGATAAATTTTATACCATTGAATCAAAGTAGAAGAAGATTGGATCGATCTTGACTATTTTTATATTTTTATAAGTTGAGAATTTACCATCTTAACTAATATTAGACATAATTTTAGTGTTTAGTGATATAATCAAGCGGGCTGAAGCCCAATCTTCCTATTTTGGGAGTCTGCTTTGCGTTGTTTTCTCTTTCTTAATCCTTGGGTGACTCCAATAGTGTAGCCCAAAAAGAAATATCATTTCGTAATTGCCACTAAGTGAACATTTTTTTACTAAAATAAATTCAAAAAAATAACTTTTTTTCTTTCTTTTTTCTCTAAAATCCTCTTTCTGGTAAGCATATAAATATTAATGTGATGCTAAAAAAAAATATTATGCCTTAATTTCAGGCAACCCAAAAAAAAGAATTGGGGTAATTTCGTCCTTACAACTTTTCCTCTCTCGCCTCTCGCGTATATAACCCCCCAGCTACAAAAATTAGGGTATAAATGCCCCAATTCCTCTCCCTCTCATCTCAGCTCTCGAGCTTCGAAGTTCGAACACAACGAGAAAAGCCAAACCCCAACCGGTGGTCCTCTCTTTCTCTCTCACCGTTAACTGTAACTTCCATCTCTCTCTCTTTGCTTGTACAGATTAGGAGGTATATGCTGTATATATCCATGTTCGTTCATCATCTTCTTGAAATTCTTACTAATATTTCAATGGATTATTGAATTTATGTACACTACCCGTATGTATTGTAGCTAATTTATTATTATTATTTTTGTAATTTTAGTTGTTTATTGGGTATTTTATTAGATTTTGAAGCTGTTTGATTCAAATATGTTTTTTGGCAGATCTCGAACATAAGGAAGACGAATGGCAACATTTGAACTGTACCGTAGGTCCACAATCGGCATGTGTTTGACTGAAACACTTGACGAGATGGTCTCGAATGGAGTTCTCAGTCCTGAGCACGCCATCCAAGTACTTGTCCAGTTCGACAAGGTCAGCTTTCCAGATGTTTGGATAATCCACTGAATTTCATGGACACCCTTAGGAAGAAATATTAGCTTTTGGTGTTACGATCTGTATAACCAGATGGTTTTTGTTTTTTATTTTTATTTTGGTTTTCTTGCCTGTTGACGTTTTATTCTGGATTTCAGTCTATGACTGAAGCTTTGGAAACACAAGTCAAAAGCAAGGTTTCCATCAAGGTAGAAGTTCTTTCTGTAATTTTTACCTGTTTTTACAATGTTTTGCAGTCGCTATATTTTAAATGATATCTGGAGGTTGGTTTGAATTAGATGTGTTAATGTCTTTGGATAATCCCTGTTTTCGAGTTTTCTGTTCAATTATGTACTGCTGAATACTAGGAGGGTGACATTTGTGCTTACTAAGTTGTTATAGCAGACTTAATCTCTAATTTTCCCTTGGATGTGTCAAGGGGAAGAAGTGATGAGCAGTGTAATTAGTGATTTTTTTGTGCTTATGTTTGGTTATTCTAATACTTAAGGTCCAAAGCTGATGCCTTGCTTGGCAAGATGGGTCTTCCTGGTTAATTTTCAAGACTTGAATGAATGACGTATGCCTTTTCATTTCTTCCATATTCTTTCATAGCATTGTGTTGTAAAGTTGGGGTTTTAAGTTTAGCTGGATCCTGGTTGTATTGAACCTGTTTATATTGAGTGTGTATTATGTGCCTCTAATTGCAACACTGTAGAGTATGTGGCATATCATGTGCTTGTTCTCATTATGAGTACTTTAATTATATGTTTTGTCTGCAAGACTGATATTTTGATCTAGCACTTTGGTAGTTTCATTGATTCTCAAAGCATTGTTGGTCTTTTCATTGTGTCTGAATTGTTTGGAGGATCAAGAATTGTTAACATGAGACATAATTTTGCATTAATCTACAGTACCATGACAATCCTATTTCAAGAGTGTTGTGGTACCTGGTTTCTGGTTCCTTGTGGTTCTGACATTAATTTTTTTTATGTATAAGCGTAAAAGAACTTGTGAATCATTTCTGGAACAGGCTGCTAGCCTTGTAGGTATTTACTAAAGAGAGCTAGATATACTGGTAAAGTATTTTTTAGGTTAGATACCACCTTTTCGGTATAGCCTTGTGCAATGGCATGAGCATTCAACTGTAAAAGTAATCGAATCCCCAATTGTTGCTATCTTTTTGATCGTCATGGCTGTCAGTTGTGCAAACTTGACCAAAGTTTTCCATGCTATGGAAGCATTTAAGTTCCATTTTGGGGAGACCTCAAAATGGCTTCTATTTTGATTCAAAAATTATTATCAAAGCTGCTTTACTTCTTTCGCCATTCTTGCAATGACTCAGCTTACCATATCTATCTAATATTGCTTAGTGTCTTATTTATTTCTGTAATAATTGCAATGTAATTGCAAATCTGTATACATGATACAATACTATATATTGAATGAATGATATAGGGTTTGAGTCAATTGACATGGAACCAATACCAATTGGAATACACTCTCTATGATGTAATTAATACGGTAGTCTTCCTATTGGAACTCTGCCCTTGGTCAAGGTCCATAGAGACTCCTTTCTTGCCATGAGCTACCTTTACAGGGACTTGACATGCCTGAAGACCTAGATGGCAAGCCTGGTTGGTAGTGGCTATCATTAGTTTAAATTTCTAATAATCCATCTATGGAGGCTTTGATAGTGGGGCCAGGAGTGTTCAAATTTCCGACCGGCCGTAAGTTCCTACCCTACCTTTTTCTACTAAACGGCTAGCCGCAAAAATCGGGTAGGAATACGGAAGAGTTTTTGGTCTTCCGACAATTTTCGGGTAGAAATGCGGAATAACTATCCATTTCAGCATTCCTACCCTACCCTACCCGCAATAATTTTTTAATATATATATATAAACTAAAAAAAACCCTAGCGGAACAATTATGATTTTAATGTATTACATATGGTTTAAAGTTTAAACTTAAATTAATTGTTATTGTATTTGTGTAACAATTATGATGGATTGATATTCATATTTTTTTGTGTTTTATTATAATTATTGTTGTAGTTGTTTTAGATTTTAGTGTTAATTGATTTATTGTGTTGTTAAATTGGTGCATGTTATTTAATTAAATTGTTAAAATGATNCATTTCTGGAACAGGCTGCTAGCCTTGTAGGTATTTACTAAAGAGAGCTAGATATACTGGTAAAGTATTTTTTAGGTTAGATACCACCTTTTCGGTATAGCCTTGTGCAATGGCATGAGCATTCAACTGTAAAAGTAATCGAATCCCCAATTGTTGCTATCTTTTTGATCGTCATGGCTGTCAGTTGTGCAAACTTGACCAAAGTTTTCCATGCTATGGAAGCATTTAAGTTCCATTTTGGGGAGACCTCAAAATGGCTTCTATTTTGATTCAAAAATTATTATCAAAGCTGCTTTACTTCTTTCGCCATTCTTGCAATGACTCAGCTTACCATATCTATCTAATATTGCTTAGTGTCTTATTTATTTCTGTAATAATTGCAATGTAATTGCAAATCTGTATACATGATACAATACTATATATTGAATGAATGATATAGGGTTTGAGTCAATTGACATGGAACCAATACCAATTGGAATACACTCTCTATGATGTAATTAATACGGTAGTCTTCCTATTGGAACTCTGCCCTTGGTCAAGGTCCATAGAGACTCCTTTCTTGCCATGAGCTACCTTTACAGGGACTTGACATGCCTGAAGACCTAGATGGCAAGCCTGGTTGGTAGTGGCTATCATTAGTTTAAATTTCTAATAATCCATCTATGGAGGCTTTGATAGTGGGGCCAGGAGTGTTCAAATTTCCGACCGGCCGTAAGTTCCTACCCTACCTTTTTCTACTAAACGGCTAGCCGCAAAAATCGGGTAGGAATACGGAAGAGTTTTTGGTCTTCCGACAATTTTCGGGTAGAAATGCGGAATAACTATCCATTTCAGCATTCCTACCCTACCCTACCCGCAATAATTTTTTAATATATATATATAAACTAAAAAAAACCCTAGCGGAACAATTATGATTTTAATGTATTACATATGGTTTAAAGTTTAAACTTAAATTAATTGTTATTGTATTTGTGTAACAATTATGATGGATTGATATTCATATTTTTTTGTGTTTTATTATAATTATTGTTGTAGTTGTTTTAGATTTTAGTGTTAATTGATTTATTGTGTTGTTAAATTGGTGCATGTTATTTAATTAAATTGTTAAAATGATCCAAAAATTAATTGTTACAAAAATGTTTACCCGACTTCCTACCCGATTAATCGGGTATGAAGTCGGGTAAGAATACCACACCTGTCGGGTAGGGTAAGTCAAGAAAAAACTTTTCCGCAAAGTATCGGGTAGGAAGACAGAAGAGCATATTTCCTACTCGTAGGGTAGGGTGAACAGCCCTAAGTGGGGCCATGCTTTTGGACGAGTGAAGTTCGACATTGGGCTTTACATTACTTTCCACTTGGGAAAAATAATTTGGTGCATTCTACCTTTCTTTTTAGTTTTGTGTCTCAATCCAGTAGTATGGTCATTCAGCTGATTTTGGACAGGTGGTATTGTGGGCCACTTTATTGGAGGACTCAAACGTTTGTCTATCATCAGTAATTTTCTCTTTTTCCAATATCTATCCCTTCTAGATAGGGATTGCCTTTTCTATAGTGTGATTCATCACACTCATGACATGATGTGTTTCAGATGTCAATGGTGTTTAAAACTTAAAGTGTGCAGTTTAAGCTGCGTGTGACATTATATGTCTTTGTTTTAATTTGAGATTTGAAAATTGAATTGAAGGTTTAAAAAATGGTAATTGGAAGGAATTCATGAATTTGCCAAAGTACAAAGCAACCAACCTGTTATCTTTTGATATCCTTTTATCATTTTTTCCTGTCCAAAAAAGAAACCAATACTAGTTATCCTTTGATACCTTGTATTATATTTATATTATAATGGTTAGTTTTTTTAATAAAAATGTGCTGCCAGTTTCATTTCTGTTTGGCCGCATTGTAAGTTAGGTTGGATTAGGCCCAAGTTTGCTGGTTTTTTATAGTACAGTGTCCTCCAAACTAGATCTCCTGCCAGTCTTATTGTTGTTTTAGTTTTTGTCTTTTCATTGTTTTGTTACAGCAGGATTGTTCTGTCTAATTGGATTGCTAATTGACTGCACTGAGTTACATGAAATATGTGGACGGTGATTGACTGGCTTTAGTTTGTAGTAATGTGATAAACCATGTGTACATTTTCTTGATATCGCTGAAAAGGTTCTGCAATGCTGCCCTATGAGATGTTTTTTGCATAGGAGTATTCATTACTTGGTTGGTTGTGGTGCCTGAATTTCCACGTCCCTTGTTTTTTCCTCCCATTCATGTCTGAGAGCGCATTGATGTAAACTTTTATGTACTTGTATTTTTTGTAATTTCTACTACTGCAGGGACATCTGCACACCTACAGGTTCTGTGACAATGTTTGGACCTTCATCCTACAAGATGCTCTATTTAAGAACGAGGAAAGCCAGGAGAATGTTGGTCGGGTTAAGATCGTGGCGTGCGACTCAAAGCTTCTTACACAGTAAGATGACAGCACGTACCCTAGTAGTTTATTTCTGTTTGCTTGAGGTGATGCTGGAAGAAATGATAGTGAGAGTGAGAGTTGATCCAATCAATTGTAATTGCAGTAGCCCTAGGGAGACTGCATGCTATCTGTATAAACCTTATCTTGTACAAACATAATCACCCAATGTGCCTTAATCATTATGCAGATATATTTGATGGCTATTCTTCGTTCACGCATTTCATGGTTGGATGTTTTAGATCAGTTTGGTGTCCTGAGTTGTAGCTTAAACATTATAATCGTCTGGTGTGACTGTTTGACATGCTGGTAATGCATAAGGGAGAAGTAACATTCACCATTTCCATCAGGTGATTAGATGACCATAAGCTACTGTTCTGTCAATGTGCTTGGAAAAAAAAAGAGATTGACTTCCAAAGGAAGTGCATGCATTTGATCTTACTGAAAGAGGGTAGGGTCGATCTCATTCTTAAATGTGAAACTGCAAGGTAAGTAGGAGGATTGGAGGACTCGTACATTTTACTTGATGACCAAATTCCAACCCCTTATTAGGGTCGGACTTGGAACATTGGAAGGTTTATTTGTTCAAACAACACATTGTGGGTTCTAGTTGGGGAAATAACTTTTCAAAAATGGGGTAATGTTGTTTGGTATTTATTGTCTTTCTTAATTTATTCTCTCAAATATTAAAAAATTTAATTTACACCCTTAATATTATAATTAATAGCAATGTGGACCAGTTGTTCTGTTATTCATTATAAATTAAAATATGTGATGTACAAGTGTTACAGACATGAAGAGAAAATTTATACATCACTGTAAATCTTCATTTGCAATCAATTTGACATCGTTTGTGTATCAAAAATAAGATTAACTCACCTAAAACGCTAACAGTCTGTGAATTTATATATAAATTTATGTTTGAAACGTTTGTAATTCTAATGTTTTAATTTATTATTAAAAATTGAACAGACCAACTTTATATTGTTATAAATTTACAAATTTCATAATAACATTGCGAGTATAACTTAAAATTTTTTATATTTGAGAGTGTAAATTAAGAATTAAAATATTTTTTGAAGTACAAAACGAGATTAGTCGAAAGCAAAATCATAAAACGAACAAGATAGAAGAAAGAAAAAAACTAATACCATAGAAACCAGGGACTAAAGTGCAAAACCGCCTTTCTTTGGAGATTCTGCAGTGTAAGGGACCGTGTGAGTGTGTGTCAGCTTAATTGTATAAAATGGTCCTCGCCGTTCCAAGGGCTGAACCATTGAACACATCAAAGGCCTCGCCCCCTCTCCTCTCTCTCTCTCTGCGCTGTGGGGCTTTCATTTTTCTCTCCTCTGTTCTTCTGTATCTCTGTATCCAACTCTCTGCTGTACAGTGACTCCAAACTTTGGATGTGCAAGCATCCATCGTCTATTTTGTTCTCTCTCTTGCCCCCTGAACTAGGTCACTTTTTATATCTGCATCTACATCTGTATCCATTTACATATACCTGATTTATTTGTGTGTTATTTCATCAAATACAAGCCTTTAGATTTTTAATTTTTTTAATTTTTTGGGTTTTTTTCTGTATTTGTGCTCAATCTGAGCTTTTGATTTCATGGTGTAACCGGTAAAACGATGTGTTTTCACAGTAAATAGAAGTAGACAAGTATAGGTGATATGGCAACCCTAAGATCGAGCTTGCCGTCGAGTTTGCGGCAACTTATATCCGGCGAAGGCGCCATCGGTCCCTCAGTTAGAATGGATTCCGAGCCTGTAAGTTCTTCCCCCCCCCCCTCTCTCTATACATATTTATTTGTATATACACTATATAAATGCACGTGTAAGTACATTTATTTTAATTTTTTATGCGTTTTGTTCAGTGTACGCCTAGGCTTTTTGTTGCAAATGGTTGTTGGCTATCTAAAATTTGTTCGGCAAAATGGGTTTTGTTACACATGGTTGTATGACTAGTAATGTTGTTGATATGTTGGTTGTATGACTAGTAATGTCGTTGATATGTTGGTTTGTATGATTGGCATTAGCTTTTTTGTGTTTCTGTTTATATCTATTTGCCGTATAGATATTCTCAGTTTTTAGGTTGATGGTAATGTGCATCGGTCTAGTTTTTGTTTCCGTTACAAAGTTTGAGCCTTAAGCAGGATTTGGTACTTCTTTGATTGAAAAAGCCATGATATGCCCAATGCTAGAATGGTTTGGTATGTTTGTGAATAATTTCAAAATTTTGTTTGCTCTTCATTATTTCCGATGACTTATTTAATGTTGTATTGTGGCTATTTAATGTGTTTATTGGTTATTCTGGGATGAATGAATCTTTGGCAATTGTACAAATCTTGACTGAAAGCCCAATTTATGTCATCTTCTTATTCAATCGTTTAACTTCTTAAATTCCTTTATATGCCATGAGAAATGTCTGTATAAGACATGCTAACATTTGATGAGAAATTGATACATTGGATAAACTTGAAAGAGCTGCTCAGTTTGTTGATGCCTGTTTAAGATAGCCAACAAATACACCCCCCCCCCCCCCACACACACATATCCTATAAAAAACCTATGTCTCAACCCTGACAGTGTGCCTTTTTCTGCAGCCTCCTAAAATAAAAGCATTCATCGACAAGGTCATCCAGTGTCCTTTACAAGATATAGCAATACCTCTTTCAGGGTTTTGTTGGGAGTACAACAAGGTTGCAACACTCTACCTCTTTTTTTTTCAAGATTTGTTTGTTTATTTTTGCCCTTGGTCTTTACTATTTCTTCCTTCCATTTCAGGGAAATTTTCATCACTGGAGGCTACTATTTCTGCATTTTGATACATACTTCAAGACACATTTGTCTTCTAGGAAAGACCTCCTCTTGACCGATGATATTCTAGAAGATGATAGTCTGTTTCCAAAACAAGCAGTTCTACAAATTTTACGAGTCATGCAAATCATTATTGAGAATTGCCATAATAAAAGTTCATTTAGTGGCTTAGAGGTATGCTGGAAATGGTAGAATCACAAAATTTTAAATCCATTGTAGGTCTAGGTGAAACTATGCTGTATTTTATGTTTTCTCATGTATAGTATATACCCTCTTGCTAATTTACTTTGTCTCTGCCAATATTTTTTTGACTAAACTGTGTTTTGTCTCTTCAGCATTTCAAGCTCTTGCTTGCTTCAACTGATCCTGAGGTTATTGTGGCAACCTTGGAGACTCTTTGTTCATTGGTAAAGATAAATCCATCCAAACTACATGCAAACGGAAAGCTGGTTGGTTGTGGCCCGGTGAATAGCTGTCTCCTGTCACTTGCACAGGGTTGGGGAAGCAAGGAAGAGGGATTGGGTCTTTACTCATGTGTTATTGTGAATGAAAGAACTCAAGAGGAAGGGCTATCCTTGTTTCCATCTGATGTACAAAATGATTGTGACAAGTCTCAGTGCCGAATAGGGTCCACTCTTTATTTTGAATTGCATGGTGTCAATTCTAAAAGAATTGGGGAAAAAATTGGTGATGGGACAGTTTCTTCTGACATGAGCGTTATACACATCCCAGATCTCCATTTTCGGAAGGAGGATGATCTGTCACTCATGAAGCTATTGATGGTG